TCATTAAACTCCTAATTACTTAAACTAATTAATAAGCTGAAAACAGTAATTAACCTAACCCACCAGACGCTTCTATTTGGATTTACCGTCGGCGTTCAAAGCCCGGCCGATCTCAGACGACACGTAAGCATCAACGCACGCGTACTGCACCTGAGCGTGCGATAGCCAGCGGCACTCCCAATTGCTCATCGTCACGTGCCTCGGCTTGTCGATCTCCTTCCCCAGCACTAAGCTCGACAGCTCCCTCAGCGACGCCGCCTCCAGCTCCTCCTGGCCGAGCTCCTCCGCCGCCAGTTTCCGCAGGTCGACGGCCCGCGCCCGCCCCCCGATCCCGTAGTCGGCGTCGAGCCGGTCGAGGTCCTGCTGCACCCCGACGCCGACGAAAGCGTAGTCCCCGCCGGCGAGGAATTCCTCCAGCGATTGGGGGACGTGGCCGCCGGAGCGGGCGATCTGGTAGACGAGGCAGCGTTGGCCGACGCAGATCTGGAGGGTGGCGACGGGGCTCTGGCGGTAGCGGGTGGGGGAGGGGCGCCACTCGACGTCGAGGCCGGCGAGGAGGTCGGGGGGGCCGCTGCCGCGGACGGAGCGAACGTCGGAGATCCAGCGGGAGACGGCGGAGGGATCGGCGGTGACGGTGGTAATCACGATGTCGCCGTAGAAGAAGACGTCGTAGGTGTCGGGTGCGTGGTAGCGGAGATCATGGTTGATGTGGATTGGGGTTAGGGCCATGGCTGATTTGGGGATTTTCTCTCTCTATTTTCCCGGCCTAAAAAAGGGCGGTGGAGAGAGAGAGATGGAGAGGTTTTTGGACTCTAGCAGGACTGTCTTTTGGGCGTGAACCAGAAACAGTTACTCAAATCTGATGAAATATTCATCTTTTCTATATATTTTTTTAATTTTTTAGTTTCTTTTGTGATTTTAGATGAAATTTGGGGAGATTTAGTTTTATCGAGTTTATTTTGGCATATATCTTGGATATGTTTAGATTTACAATATTAGTTAACAAGATATTTCATTCTTATCAGTTTCCATTATACTGGTTAGTATATTTCGTTTTTTATTTTATTTTATTTTATTTTATTTTATTTTATTTTTTTTTGGTCACCTTATGTTTTAGGCCTCCTATATAAGATTTTTACTTGCATGATATGTAAATAAATCGAATGTATTTTTATTTTTGACACATTAGCAATCTGTTTGCATTGGAGAGCATCTATGGACATTGGTTATATTTTTTATGACATACCTTCAATAGATCCTGTTATATGTCCATTTTCACTTGCATTTAAGAGTAACATAGTCTTTTTCATACATATTCACTTTCACTTGCATTAAACAGTAGATATAAGATTTGTTTGGATGGAGCGAATTAACATAAATTTTTTATAATGGTTATACAAAGATTTATTTAGGAACTGGCAATTCCATAATGGTTATACAAACAATTTATTTATAAACTTTCAATACAATTCACTATTCAAAAGTATTTGTTATCCGCTGTCAGATAAATATCAAACAAATGTCAGTCTTAAATCTTACCTATTGTTATAAGCTATCAGCTAAATAGTCAAATAATATCAAAATTAACATAGTTCAATTGAAATTTTGCTTGAAAATGCTTCCACTGAGGAAGCACAATACAACCAAACCGCAGCCATTATACAAAATACTAAAAATGTATGAAGGGCTTTGGGCATTCAGAAAAAAA